GTTGGTGGAACGGAGCAAGTGTTGCGGACAGACACGACACACTGTCGGATCGGTTTTACTGGCCGTATACATGGAGCGCATTCGTAAGCACAGTTTTGGCGGTCTAAATATAGGAAGGAGTAGAAGAAAAAAGGGTTGAAAGAGGTAAATTGTTTACGCTTTCTTTGCAAAACTGTAAATAAAACACGAATTCCTATTTGGAAATTCTGTCAACAACTACGAGTGGTTTGGGCTCATTGTCAGCAAACGTTCCAAATGTGACCAAAAGACTTAGTCGCGATGAGTACAAAGATGAACATTAGTCGTCGGCCAGAACACGATGGTAATAATACAAATACACATTAGATTCTGATGAAGTCACTGTCCCCCATCTTAAACCGTGATAACCAGTTCGGTTTTATTACAGTGAAGTCGGTACCGGAAGTGATATCAATTCGGGCATTCTTTCCGTCCATGAAAAATTACCTAAGAGCGTAGTTTCGTAGCGTCTGATTTCAGACTGTGTGCCAAACAATTCACGGTACAGCAATTTTATACAAAGAAAGGTTCCATGATTTGCTTCTGGGCGCGATACTGGTACGTTGTCCGCACGCTCTATCAGACTGGCCAACAAGCTGTCCTGGCTAAAACTCTCGAAACTTTCAACGCAGATGTATGTTGTGTCTCCGAAACACGCATACAAGCCCCACTTGCATTATCTCTCTGCGTACTTCTGAACCAACCTCAATCTCATGCTGCACCCTTCGTGTCAGGCGATTCGGCATCCGAAGCTTGCGGTGTTGCTGATGTCGGGGTTGTGCCAAGTGCCAAGGCTGAGCGCCCGCATCTTGACTAGATTCCAGTCAGTAGCCGATTGTGCGCTGTACGTCTCAACAGTTCAGTTCAAGTCAACAGCTACCGAACGCAGCGTCGATGCTTTTTCGTCATACCGGCGTACGCACCGACCGATTGCAGTATACCTGAAATCAAGGATGAATTCTAGCAGGATCTTTCTCAACTACTTCAAAGTGCTCGATCAACGGACGTCGTAGTAATCACCGGAGACTTCAAGGCTCAAGTGGTATCTCTGGACGAATCAGAAAGGCTTCTTGGCGGACCACATGCAATCCCAGCCAACCGGAC